TAGGCCCTGAGAATAAAACAGTAATCAAGGCCACATGAACTTCCCCTAAAAAAGCTGCTAGTCTAAGGGTTACAAACAAGTGCACAGGCAGCAACGCTGCTATAGGGTCTGAAGAAGAGCCCTGAATATATTCAAGGGGAAGGTCAAGATGGGGCCTCCTGACTTGGGCATGGGAGGGTGGTTAGAGTAGGGAGAACAGCCCCAGCCCAATGTGTACAGAGGCCCCAGGGAAGAAAGAACTTAACTTGCTTTCACCAGCTCTGGGCAGGCAGTTAAATATCTCCCCGAGAGGCTTAAGAATGACTGGGGACTGAGGTTTTAAGTTCTCTCATATACAGCTGTACCCAAACCACCTGTGTTTTCTGACTGTAAAAGATACATCTAGAAGATGTGGTCTTCAAATCTAGAGAATGGGGGATGCAGGAATGGGGGATTCTCTCTCTTCCCCTCCCTCCACACCCCCTTTAGTCTTCTGGTTAATGTAGTGTGATTTGTGCTGTATCTAAGAATGTTGGCCTTTAATCTTAAGTTTCCAGGTCTTTGACCCCATTTCACTGACCCTGTTGAAACCTACAGGTCATGGCTGGACGATCTTGCTGCTCCCACATGTTTTCCCAGCAGCAGCAGGAGAGTTCTCTGGCTTGAGGCTGCTGGAGGCTCCAGGTTGTGTGGTTGTGGTTGGAGTGGGTGGTAGACAAGGGCTGAGAGATTGAACAAATCCCTCCATGACCTTCTGGCTCTTTTGCTGTATTTGTTCTTTGAAGCTGGGTGAAAATCAGCTGGGGAAGTTTTCACAGCATAATAGTGCGTCACTGCAGATGCCACCAATAAGGAGGAGCTGACACCTTTGCCCAAGTGTGTCAGTTCTCCTAGGATCAACTTCAACATCCCTTGCATTGGGCTCAGGCTTCAGTGTGAGATTGGGTTCATTTCAGAATTCCCTTCTGGGCACTGGGTATTGGACGGTTCTGGTATAGATAAATTAACTCCCACCCAATGCCCTGCCATCATAAGACCACCCTCAATTAAGTGTTTCTTGCAAAGGATCCTGGGGGTGGCAGTCATTCAGCCCATTCTTTCATGTTTACTCAACCAGTATTTGCTGAATTCCTACTAGAAGCTTGGTGCTGTAAGAAAAGAGAAAGAAGATGGGAATTTACATTTTTAATAGATTTTTAAGAGCTTTTAGCGGCCACCTCTGCATATTTACATTTTGAACTGGATAATCCTTTGGGAGGCTGTCCTGTGCTTTATAGAATAAGAAGGGTTGTGTGGGAAGTTTGTAGGTCAATGGGGTTGTGAGATCCCATCCTGTTCCTCTCTTTTTCCTTCCTATCTATAAGGTGAGCAGTTTGTCCACCACACACTCCCTACCATTGTCATCTGGCACCCCCACCAAAATCCTAAAAGCAATGGGTCCCCTCAGTCATGGACTGAAACCTCTAAACCATGAGCCAAAATAAATCTTTTCTCTTTATGATTCATTCTCTCAAGCATTTTGTTACAGTGACAAAAAATCTGACTAACATACACTCTTATGATTGTAATAAGGATTTATTGAGGAACAGATGAGTGATGTGGCACACACCTATAATTCCAGCTACTTGAGAGGCCAAGGCAAAAGGATCCCAAGTTCCAGGCCAACCTCAGCAACTTAGTGTGACCCTGTCTCAAAATGCAAAATATAAAGAGTGGGGAATGTAGCTTAGTTGTAGTGCATCTCTGGGTTCAATCCCCAGGACTACAAATGAAATGAAATAAAAATTAAAATGTAAAGAGCCTAGGGAAGAATTTGGCTTCCAGCAAGTCATCAGTAGATGTTAACTATTTTGTACTTGATTCTGTTGGACTTCAGAGTTTAGAATCTCTACTATAAATAATAGTGACTTTTAAATCAAAGCCTGCAACTCCACCTCCCTTATTTATGGCAAAAACACAGTAGGTATCTTTGGGTTGGAAACCAATCTCTGGTCCCATGCACTGTTTCCAGGGTACCAATGTCAAATGGCTCAGCCCCTGTTGGAGCTGTGGGCTGTGCAACATTGATGACATCTTCCCAACGTAGATTCAAAGGGTCAAAGAGGCGGCACCAGCATTTGTTGAGACATCTGCACACTCATCCATCCCTTCAACCAACTTTACCAAAGATCTTTTTGATTCTGGGCATCATGTTTCTATTAAGTGCATCTGGAATGCCAGTAAGTCACCACTCTGTCCATGTGTTAACTGAAAGTTTATTGGGTAGAAATGTCATTGTTTAGTTTCAGGACAATTCCAACTTATTTATGTGGATTGTGTCAAAATACTGAGGTTTCTTTTCGTGCTTTGCTTGATGTCACAGTTGGGCTTTGTATGTATGGAGATCCCATGGCCTGGATGTGGTTGGGGAACTCCTGGGAATATCCGCTTTCTTCCTCTCTCCAGCTTTTTATAGCTACATAAGGTTCAGATCTATTAACAAACACTTGTATAATTACGCCCCTCTCTGTTTACGGACTCAGGATAAATTGTCTTGATGGGAAAATATCTATCCTTTGGAGTAATTTAGATCAAGCCTTTTTAGTTTTTGTTTGCATGTGGTTCATTTGCCCTTCTAAAAATCATTTTGATGTCTGTTTCATGAATCATCTACTGTGGATAAATTACAGTATTCAATAAGCCTCATTAAAAATCTCATCTTGACCTAAAAGTAGTTGGCATAAAGAAAATATGTGACCCATCCATATGCTTTCTCATGGAGCTAAATCAAAAGAAATAGTTGAGGGCCGGAGTTGTGGCTCAGTGGTA